CCAGAAATATAGCTAATTCAGAAGAGGCTGCACTATAGAGTCATGATCTCCCTGGATAATGAGTAATTTCACACGTCCTATCAACTTTTCCAATGGCTCCCACTGCACTTGGAGCAGAAGTGGTGTCTTTCACAGCAACTGAAGACCTCACTTGATCACCCCCGCCCCGCCCCCCGCCCTCCGAGCTCATCACCGGCCACTTTCCCCCTTGGTCCCTCCACTTCAGCTCACTGGCCTCCTTGCTGCACTTACTGTCTGTTCCCTGTGCCTGGAGTATCCTCCCCAGAAAGTCCTGTGGCTCCCTCCTGCCTTTCCTCAGGTCTCTGCCTGAGGGTCCCCTTGTTAGGGAAGCTCTGCCGGACCTCCCTGTGCAAACTAGCGATCCCTGCCCCTCTCACTCCCCACAGTCTCAGTGATGAGGTATCACAGGGGAGCCAGCGTCTCTGGAACCATGTTCCTGGGGCCCTTCCGCAGGCCTGTGAATCAGAAATGGGGGGCTGGGCCCAGCCACGTGTATTACAAAGCTCTGCAGTGGCTCCGATGGTGCCCAAGCTTAAGAACCACTGCAGGGGGCTTTATAAACATACCACTCAGTTCTCCTAATAACCCTGTGAGGTAGGCTCTACTTTATCATCCCATTTCAGAGGGGATGACACACAGGTGTCTGGGCCCCGCCAATGGAGATTCTGATGCAGCGGGCTGGGCAGGGTTCAGAATCCGCATGTGTAACAAGTTCCCTGGTGACGCTGCAGGTTCGGGGGGCCACATTGTGAAAACTGGTGCTCTGAATACTGTAGGTAGAGTTTCATACATAGTAACCCTAAACTCCCATAATTAATTCCCCCTTTGCAGCATTAGCATATAAAAATAAAACAAAGCTACATTACAGGTTATAACACCTGTTGGCCTGCTGATCTCAGAGTGACCATGTCATTGCTTTTTCCCATCATCAGACGTGTGATTTGTTTTTTTCCATTGAAGAAAATAGTTCTTCCAATGTCCAAAGGGCAAGTCAGGCGGAGGCACAAAAGACCTGAAGTTGCAAAGAAATTAGACTCACAGACAATTTCAGCTGAAAGGAAACCCAGAGAATACCGACCAGGGATGGCGGAGTCTGATGCCAGGCAGGTGAGAAACGTGCCAAACCGACCTGGTGGAAGGGGCGGGGCTGTGGCAAATCCCCGAGTGCTTGCCCAGTTTAAAGGCCTTTAAATTCAATTAGAAAATAAAACACTGTCTAGGTCACACAAAACATGGCAGGGGTCAGGGGATGGCCACACAGGGCAGCCTGCAGGCGCAGGCGTCACCTGACCTGCTCGCTTTACGAGGGGAAACAAGGTCACAGAGTTGGTTGGTACCAAAGGCTAGACATGAATTCCAAGCCCGGGATCTCAGGGGAACACGAGTCGCTGGATTGCTGCTGGTTTATTTTTAAATGGAGATTACAATAAAAACAAGAAGCAAACTCAATGTGACATAAGGCAGTTAAAATTAGCTCTCTCCTCCTCCACCAAATCAGGAAACCCCTGTGTGCTAGATTCACCCGACAACATCAGCCAACTGAACAAAGGGTCAGAGAGCCAGCAACTGTGAAGGGATTTTCAGGGAGCAGGTCCTTGGGGAGGGGCTGTCCTGCCAGAGGGAGCATGGCGTATCCTCAGCAGGAGCGGCAGCAGGACCCGAGAAGCTCAGAGACCCAGGGCCACCTTGTCCCAGGGCCACCTTGCTTCTGACAGTTGTTGTTCCATGACATGTTTGCCTTCGAATCTGCTGCACATGGGGGTGGGGTGGGATGAGAATTTTGACACTACAGGGCATTGGGTCTCAGCCAAGTCCTGCCCGGGACTTGGGGACAATGCCCCTCTGTGGCCAGCCCCCCTGTCCCATGTGGGAACCAAGCCTCTGAGGGCATGGTCTGCAGTCCCCTCCAGGGAGCCCAAAGGTCACACGGCAGTCACCACACCCACACACCCACGCCCGCTGTGCGGACAGTGTGGGCTCGTGAATAGATGCTGAGTAACACATTTGTAACCTTCAAGTATCAGAATCCTCCTCTGTTTAAATCCCGCTGTGGGCGCAGCTCCTCACAGCTCAACTAGAGCTCACAGCTCAGGACAGCGCCGCACTGTGACCCCACTTACTCATAGCTGTGTGCCCTTGAGGCAGCCACTTACCTCTTAAACCCTCACTCAGAGCCTTCTCCTCTCATGGAAGTCAGGAGCGTGTCTCTTTGTGGGGGTTGGGGTGGGGGTGGGAAGGGGCTCTATCTCTAAAATGTACAAAGTTCTAACCCCAGGACTGAAGTCTGGTGTGGGGAGCACTACATTGGTGCCGCTCTGCTGTGCTCCAGGAATGGCTGTTGGAAGCTATCGAAAATGTGTACACAGAGATTTGCACCTCACCCGACTCAGCAGTTAAGCAAATGTTCCCAACAAACTGGGAACCAAAACGTCCTGGGGGTCACCCACTCCAGGCGGTGGAGGTAGGAGAGGGCGCCCCATCACCGTTCCTCTTCCATTGTCACACCACACATTTCTCACCAGGGCGGACTGCTCCAGCAGCGTTCAGGGAGGCTCTCCTTTTAATTCACCCGACACTGCGGACAGATGGCTGCACCTAACGCCAGCTCTGTTATATTTCAACGCTGCTGAAAATGCCAAGTCAACCAGGCCGCCTCCTCCTGGACCCAGAGCACTCAGTAGCCACATTCTAGCTCAGGGGTGGGCAAACTTTTTGACTCGAGGGCCACAATGGGTTCTTAAACTGGACCGGAGGGCCGGAACAAAAGCATGGATGGAGTGTTTGTGTGAACTAATATAAATTCAAAGTAAACATCATTACATAAAAGGGTACGGTCTTTTTTTTTTTTTTTTAGTTTTATTCATTTCAAACAGGCCGGATCCGGCCCGCGAGCCGTAGTTTGCCCACGGCTGTTCTAGAACCTTGGATTCTCCTTCCTCTTATGCCTGTCAGTGTCTCCCCCACAGCCTTGAGCTCCTTGAGAATGAAAACCACGTCTGCTCCTCTCTGCATGCTTCTTAATGTGTAGTACTGCATTCAGCACCTATCAGATGCTCGGTAAATGCCAAAATGACAAAAACAAGAGAGACACACATTTCCATGGCAACCAAAGAACTGGGTCAATGAGGAAAGGACTGCAGCTTGTATTAAGCACCTTCACACGAGGGCATGAAGGTCTGTCATGAACAGAAACTCCAAGTGCTCTGCACCAAACACAAATGCATGGAGCTCCTCAAAGCTGCCGGCACAGAGAAGCCAGCAGGCTGCTGGGTAGAGCAGCTCCCCAGCACCCACCCGCCCCCCCCATACTGTGGGTACTGCTGCCCAGGTAGAGCGTCTTGGGACAGTAAGGGGCAAGAGAGAGCCCCAGGTGAGAGCCCCAGAAAGAGAGCTTGGAAGTGATCCCTAAAGTGAAACCCGAGAGATGTGGCGGATGACAGGAAGGGGAGAGAACACTCCGGCAGAGGGAACAGCGGGTCAAGGGGAGAGTAGCCAGTCCTTCCTTAGGTGACACAATAGCTTTGCACATATTATTCCCACTACAACTAAAACCCATGTCAGCCTCTTCCCAAATTTTGATAAAAATGACACCAGAATGCTTTTCCCAACCCTCCCCCTCGTCCCCAATCTGATAACCCAGCACCATGTGCACAGGCTTTGATGGAGGCCGAAGATGATCCGTCTTCAAAGACATGGTCAAGCTTTGCTTTTTGCTACCTGTTCACTCCCGAGGGGCTGCCCAGTTCCCAGGCCCTGGCCCCTTCCCTTCTGGGGCGAGAGCCTCAGCTTATCAGCTCACAGTGCTCGAGAATCAAAATGACTATCCACTCGCGTTCAGTCCACCGTCCCTCCTTTTGTTTCCCACAGGCTCTCCCACAGAACAAGACGTCCAAGAAGGACAGCCTGGCGAGGGCAGTAGAAAGAGCAGAAGATTGGAAATTGGTAGGAATTTCCATTTTCCAAGTACCAGCTGTGTGGCATTAAACAAGGTACTCGACATGCTCGTGATTCTCTTATGAGATGATGACAGACACTGTCTGGAAGACGTGGCATGAGAGTGAAATAAGATGATACAAGGCAAAACGCCTGGCATGTTTGCCTGGTGCCCTGACACGGCATATTAGTGTAATAATTCCAGGATGCAGGTCCACAACCACACAGAGTCTATAACAAAATGCCTCTGCAGTTCCAGGTGACCCTGATATAAATACGCTTTTGTAAAAGGTGATTACCCCAGTGAAAGTTGAAGACTTATTTTTGCATAAGAATGGCAATTTCTAGAGTGACTGGATTTCCAACAGCAGTATGAGGGCCTTTCTTAATGATCCATTGTATAAAGGTGAAAACCGATTTTCAAGGTCCCACGTGAAAAAGATTGAGACAATCACCATAGCGAATGCAGAAAGCAATCCTTCTGAGAAATGGAGGGGCCTTCTGGGAAAAGGACCCGCTGTGCTGGAGATGGGAGAACAGAGAGGTTTCTCAAGGTGTTTGCGGTTTTGATGCAATCATTTCGGAAGGGACACCTTTAGTGTTTGGGAAAACAGAAGTGGAGGCAATAGAGCTTTAAAGTAATTCTATTTGAAATAGTGTTTCCCCACTACATTCCTTCTTTAAGGATAGAGCTGAGTGATCAGAAGCCTCACACTTAATGTTCCACTCGTGCGGGGGCATCTTCATCACACAGACACATTCCAGTCGTGTTACACTATTCAGAACGACCTGCTGTGAGCTTAGGGATGACTTGGCTCCTGAGAGCTCTTGGTTCTGAAGGAAACATGTTCAGGACACACAGTACTTTAAAGAGAACTGTCACCCTACATCAAGGCCTTGGAGAGACTGGCCAGATTCACAGACACCCTTGGGAGGGTTGGTGGGAAGAGAATTTCTCAGAAAGCATTCCCTCATATCAAGTTGAGAGAGAACATGTTAAAGACAAAGGATTTAAAGTTTTAAAAAACCCTGCCATGGGATTACAATTTTTTGTTGTTCAAAAGACTTTATTGTGAAAGCCTACCTTTAACATGGTGCAAGGAGAAGCTCATTTGAGGGCACCCTTGAAGCTCCTTTTCAGTAAAACAATTATCAGACCTCACCAACGTGTTTTATGGTCCAGAACATAAAAGCACAGAAACAGTCATTCTGTGACTCCCCACTGGATATGATGCTGCAGCCACTGGTTAATCTCTTCTATGGTATGAGGTGAATTCAAATGTAAATGCTGCCACAAAAACAACCCCAGATGTCTAGGGTAAGTGTTCAACCAGCACTTCTGATTCATGCTGGGCAGCCTTTGACAACGTTGACTGCAGAGAAAGAGGCAAGACAGCGGAAACCAAATGAACAATTCATTTATTTATCATCTTTGGTGACCAGAGCTTTCCTGCCAGCATCGGGGGTGGGGCAACGGGAGAGAAGAAGCCTGTTTGGCAATAAGATACAAGCAAAGAAAACTGTAAGACATTGGTTTGGGAAAAAGAAAATAAAATTCAAGTGATGTGCATTATGCAAAATAAGTAATGTAAACTCTTTGAAAGTTAACAGATTTTTAAAAATCATATAACTTAAGTCTCCATGTACTTCTCTCATTTCATAAACAAATCCCAGGGCCCAAGTGGTTAAATATATTTTAATTCATGGACAGAGGAAGCAATCTGCCCAATAGAGTTTAAGAAGATAATCCAAGTTTAGTAACTGCTCACTACCATTTTGTTCATTTAGGTAAGTAATATGGGTTTAAAGGTCAGATGTGTCTGTGTGAAAAATTGTTTCCAGTCACCATTTTGTTCTAAGATGTAACCCTGAATTTCAAATCAAACTCATTAGTGCTTAATATTTTAAAAATATGTGTCTCCTTAACATATTTCAACTCCTTCAAAAAGTTACTGTGTCTAGCAAATTGAGATAAAGCAAAATTGAAAGTGCTAGTGTCATAATTAGCTAGTTGTTAATAATTGGAAGAGAGCAAAGGGGAGGCTAGACGTTGTAAGCATGGTCATCTGGGCAGCTTCACCAAGAAGCTGTAACTTCATGCTCCCCAGGGAATCACCGGCCCATTCCGCAGATCCCTGGGGGAAGGGATTGAACAAAGGGGTAGATGGGCGCATGCACAGTGAAGTCAGGATGACACAGAGAAGTGCTTGCCTGTCAGTCTGACCTGGGAAACAGATAATTGCAAGTGGGTAAAATCCAATCCTTAAGGATTAATTGTTTAAGCTCCTGGTTAAAATCTCCAGACAAAGAGTTCACTCTCTCTTGCCTGTTCTTGCTTTACGCATGCCTTCTTGCTCCTTTCCTGCTCCGTGACCTGCATGCATCCATCCTCTCGTCATCGCCATGTGGCCTTAAGCAGCTACATGTCCCAGGGTCATGCGGACTCCACACGCAGGACACTGGACTGGACTTTAATATGGACCGGAGACTCTGGGCAGAGGCCTTAATTCTAGCCCTGTTGAAGACAAAATTGGACTTTTCCCAATGGTGGGATGGAGGGAAATGCAACACTGGAAACCCAGGGGTTTAATTTCACGAAAATAAAGACCACCCATCCTCCCGGGCCAGTGTCAGGAAATTCCTTTCCTTGTGACATCACAAGAACTCCACTTCCACCGGTAACAGATGGGGACACAGATGGCACCCCACTGATAACAAAAGGAGCGAACCATTTCATTTAGGCAACTTGGAAATTGAAATGCAGAATACAGTACAGTCCTGGGCACTAAAAGCGAGGTCACCCTGGATCACCCCCCTCTGTTTGTTTTTTCCAGATGCAGAGGTCCTGGAAACAGTGCTCCCCAAAGTGTGGCCTCCTGACCTGCTGAGTCAGACTCCCTGGGGCCCTGTGCCAGACGGAATCAGATATTCTCAGGGGGAAGCCGCCAGTCAGAGGGTGACAGGGCCCGGGAAGGAGATCTTGCCGCACAAGGAAGCCCGTGTCAGCACATAAGTGTCAGCACAACTCCTGGGATTTCTCATCCCCCTCAAGCCACCATCACACAAATAACACCTTCACCTGTGAGTGTTGGCGAGGAGAACTTTTCCTCTATCCTCTTAAGTCAGTCACTGGGGGCCCATGAATTAAACTGACACAGATGAAAAAGAGAAAATACAAAGTTTACTGAGGGAGGTTTGTATGGGAGTGGCAGTGGGCCCACAAAGAAAGTGGCTAGAAAAAGCAGTTAGAATTTGGGGCTTATACACCATCTTAGCTCAGGGAGGGAGTTGGGATTTCAAGGGACAAATAAATGGTGGGAAATGATTGTAGAACAGATGAGGGAAGCTAGTGGGAGGCAAGTTTGTGTTAGCAAAGGCTGTTCATGCAGTTCCCATCTCTGGTGACAGGAGCCATCCTTTCCCCTGAAGTAAAGGGGGACTTATAACAGCTGAATTGTTTTGAAAGGATCTGCTCCTTTAGGCAGTCAAGGGGGTGCAGAGCAAGCCTCATCTTTCATCTGTTGATTCTCAAATGCCTTTAGCTCAAAATAATGCTTCTGCCACAGTGGTGTACTGGGGAGCCTTCACTAGCAAACACAGTCACCAGATTGCAACATTTATTCCCACCCGCATTCCTGTCGTGTAAACAAGAGTTACTTGCATTTTACAGGTGCGGCGCGCGTGTGTGTGAGTGTATGTGTGTGTGTGTGTGTGTGTGTAGGGGGGCAGGAAGGATGCTAAGAGGCTGGTTACCAAACAGGGCCCAGGTCATACGGTTTCTAGTATTCAGGACTTGAATTTAGATCTTTTAATTTTAAAATCAATTATCCTTTAAGAACAAAGCAAACAACCTCGCCCTTAAATACATACACAAATTCCCTTGATTCAAACATACAGTTTTCCTTTCAGTCATCTCTTTTCAATAGACTAGCACAATTTGTCAACACAACCATTAAGGAGACCAGCCTCTAATAAGCTAAATTTATGAATGATGGCTCACTCTAGTGTTGGCTGAGACATAATTAAATACTCAGCAACCAGCCAGCGGTCTAAGGACCATAGGTTGCTCTTGAATTGTCCATCTGCTTCCAAACATAATGACACTCGGTGATTGATGACCTCAGGGGCTAGGGTGTAGTTCAACCCAGTGAAGAGCTAATCATTATCAAACACTAGTGCCTATTACAGAGCAGACTTACACAAGAAAAAAACCATTTCATCAGAAAGGGACAAGCAGAAGGTACAAGACGGCAGAAGAAGAAACTTACTAGTACATTCCATATTTAGGATATCATTTTCTTCAGTAAATTTCAGACTTGGTTCAGTAATTCCTAAGATCTTTTAAGAGGATGTCTGCTAAGGAATGGCACATAAAATAGAATACGCAGCCCTGTCTCTGATGGTGTTGGAGAAATATCCTGGCTTTGGCAGCTTTTTCTTCCAGACTGCAGTGCTCAATATGGTAGCCACATATGGCTATTTAAACCTAAATTTAAATTAGTTACTATTACCTCAATTAAACTTTTAGTTGTTCAGTTACACCAGTCACATTTCAAGCATTCTATTGGACAGCACTGGTCTGGAATCTGATGGTAAAGTGTTGAAATGAAGAGGAAATGTTGCCAGCACTCCCCAGGATGTTTAAGTAAGAAGGAGGGAAAAATGAACTTAAATATTTTTATTAAAAATATTTCAAGTATATTGAAAAAATGAAGAAATAATAGAGAACACATGTGTGCCCAATGTAAGTGTCAAATATTTACATTTAGCATCCCCTCCCCCAACTCTTTTTTCAGTGAAAATAATAAATAAAACACAGATATGTAGAAGCCCCATGGGAGCCCGTTAACAGGCTCAATAAAGAAATACCTTGCTGAAAAGTTCAAAGTGTATTGGACAAAAGCGATGGTGCCCGGACATAACCACGTGGAGAGAGACCTGGGCACTGGGACCACATGGCATGGGGCCTAAGTGTCCTGGAGAACTAACAACAATTCTAGAATATTTGGAGTTCCACTGAAGGTGAAGGCAAAACTAATGTGAATCCACAGAATGATGCATAAAGATTCTTTCTCTAAAGGTAGAAACAGAGAGTGTGTCTTGAAAAAACCAATTTCAGACATTAAGCACATAAAAATAAGTAATGGTCAGGCAATCACAAACTCCTTCAATGTCAGTGCCAGGAGCCCCGCGGAGACGTCTCTCTAAGCTTGTAAATCATTCGGTAAATTTTAAGTATCAGAAAACAAGGGGAACCTTCACTGAGTAATCGCCCTTTACACAGAAAATAGAGATTTATTGTCCAATACTTGACAAAGATCCATGGCTAAGTCTGCAATAAGTATGTCCCTATGTCATTTGCTGGTTTCGTCAGAATTATTTACACTCTTTCATTTACTGTCACTTCTATTCTATTCTCCAATCCAGCAGACCCCAGGCATGAGCATTCATCTGAAGGAAATAGTTTCCCTTGTGTAAACAACTCACTTAAGTTACAAAGGAAGTGCATGGAGCCTACATTTCTAGAAACATGGTGCTTTTGCAGGGCAAGATGTGGGACCTGTACTGATACAGACTCAAGATGGCATGCCCCATTCTATCACAAATGATCATATAATAAAACTGCCCTATCTGATGCTAAGCAGACTTGGTTTTACCTTTCTAACCTGTTAGACAGTCTGCTGTGGCCTTCTTGGGCATTGCAGAACATACCATGCGGCCCCAAAGTGACATGGTACCACACTTGCTGCTGGCTGTTCTATTGCTACTAAAGAGCTTCCTCTTCAGCATTTAACATGTTCCACTTACAGCTTAGGGCGGTCCAACCTGGTCCCACTGAGGTCTTTCCTACTGCAGTTGCTCAGAGCCAGAGATGGCTCCTCTCTGTCAGAGGGCATGGGCTCCCTCCAGTTCGTGACCTGCCCGAGTTGTCTTCCCCTCAAGTTCCAGCTGGACACCTCTGCTTGTCAACCTGCAAGTTTCTGCCATACCTAAAACTCAACACCCCACATCTGAAACTCATCTCACCTCCCCACCCCCACCCCCATGGCAATCCTTCCAGCCATCTCCTAGTGTCTGTTCAGGACACACTCAGTCCTCAGGTTGAGGGCCTGGGGGCCTCTTCCTCCTCCTATCTGGACTCAGTCTTTGGAACCATCAAGCTTTCTCCCTACAAATCCTCTCAGATCTGACTGTCCTCCCCATTTCCATGGCTACTGCTCCAGCTCCAGTGAGGTCCCTTCCTTCACGGTCTGCCCTCTCCTGCCACACAGCTGTGGGCTCATTCCTAAACAGCCCGGCAGCTCTTCAAAGCCTGCCGTCAGCATCCCTTCTGATGTTCGCTGGACTCCCAGCACCCGCAGCCACTCTTCCACTGTGCCTGCCCCCACACTCGTCCCCTTCCAGTCTATCTTCTGTCACGCCTTTGCTTACCCCAGTCCTCCTACTACAAATCTTCTGCCTTTCTGATTCACAGGACGAGTGCTAACT